AACTGCGAAAAGTGTTATTGCCCGTAATTTATTTTTATTGCAACACTACAGTTAGATGCCATTACTCCGCTGATGATAGTTTCGGAACTTGTGTTACTTTATTCGATAGTTTAAATAAGTATAGCGTTTTATAAATTACGGTGTGACAGAAAGGATCCAGAATGTTCTTGATATTATTTTGAAAGAACACACAGCATTAGAAGTTGAATTAAAAAACTGGTAACGAAAAAGAACTCGTAGGTATAAACCTGTATAATGAAAATATAATTAAGTTAATATTAAAAAGATTAAATCATTAGGGTTACGCTTTGCATAATAAAATAGTTAATATTTTTTTTTCTAAATGCGTATAATTTATCCTACCAGGTCAGCACGCCGCAATGACAGTTAAATGCCCAGACGCCAATTAACATTCACAGCTTTAAACTGCAAGGTTATCCATAGATAATATCCATACTTAATTAGTAGTACAGAGGCTACGTATATTGCTAATGTATTCATGTTATTACCCACTATCAGATAGACAGTAGGCGTAGGATTATCACCTAAAGATTATTTACATTACGTTACTTGAATGTCTGGAAAATTGTTTGACTAGCTGATAAGAAATGTTAAGAAAACGGCGATGTAAGTACATTGATATTTACTTTCATATATAACAAACACAATACCTAAAGTGGGAGCCGATAACGACTAGAACAGACGAATATCGGATTTACTAATATAGGCCAAGAGATAGCCAATTTGCATTCATTCAGTAGGTACATTGCCAGACGCCACTTCTCTGAAAGGTATACTTTAGCTGAACTTGATATAAACATTAGTCTAATATCTTAACCAAAGTACGTTTACTGCTAAATGTCTAGAAGGAGTTTTTTACGTGTTATTTTGCTTTAATGTAAATTGTAATTTGATTGGAATCATAAGAGCGCCATCTAGGATCCTATGATTCCATGTAAAGGAAAGGAAACATTAACCAGTCAACCAGTAGAAACTTTAAGCCACGGGAGAGCCATACCTCGATCTGCTATTTTATTATTGTATTAATACTGTCGATGGACTGTCGTTCTGAATAGTTTTACATTTTTCGTATTCTATTCTACTAACTGTCAATGATATGTTTGGTAAATGGTATATTTTAAACTTAGGAAATTATATATTTAATTTGCCAGATATGGCAATGTTGTTAATATCACTGTTGATGAGCCACGGTCACTAAATCCACAGTCTATTGACCCTGTGAATATATGATAGTAGAATACCGATATTTTGACCGATGTTAATGACATCTCAGGGAATGCCAGTCTGTCTTGTACGTTAACATAAAGTAACAGAATTGAGGCCCTGATATTACGACCTCAAAGAAAACCGATGTTAAGCTATGTTTTCGTTGCTTTTCTCCGTGTTACCGGCAACCCAATCCGACCTTCTAATTCTGACAGACACTCAAATGGTGGTAACGCACTTTTGTCACTTTAATAGCAAGCGTCCATGGTAGTTCTTAACATCAGGTGACTAGGGATTTAATAAAATCACAATCATATGTGATAAATCATATTATTTATAAATCATATCATTACACTTGCGGCTGATTTACAAAACCACTGCTACCTAATTATTATTATTACACTAGCGCAAGACTCGCGAACCGTCTAAATCTAAAAAAAATAGGTCGTAATCTTTGATAAAAGAATTTTGATTGATTTTAATGCCATTTATCTTTGTCTATGACGAAATCACAATCACATATAATATCGTTGTGCCTAAAACCAATCATTTCATCAAACAGCAATTAAAATTAGCAATCATTTCCATGTCTACAGGTGATCCTTCTGCTCATTTTACTTTTATACTACTTTTTTATTTTTTCTCATCAGTTTACGGCTTTGTCATGATATGATTTAATATTAAAGAAACCACAGAAATACTATCTAAAGTATTATTTGTTTTATTCCAAATAACATATTAGATTAGATTCAGTTAGACTGACAGTTAGAAGACTAACTACTAAAAGTCTGGTTAATCCAAGCTCATTCTACGAGTATACGGATCTTATTTCGGGATAGTATGCCAATTATCCACAACGCATATTAAGAACACACTTATTCTGAGCAATGAGTCACGCTGAGAGAAAGTCTGTTACATCGCTGAATATGCGACAGATTTATCGCGATTTTATAGTGATGTGCGTTAATAAAAACAATATATCGACAGAGCGACTTTTTTTTTAATGAGGACTCTATTGTCAATATTGAACATACTAATATTTTAAAACATACAAAGTCATACTTGTATTATTAAGGTAATCAATTCGTCCTTAAGTATCAAAGGTTAAACAGTATATTGTGTATAACTAAAAGAGGCTATAAACGTTCCAGCAAAGAGACGTTGGTTTTTTCGGCATTAATAGATATGTTCATATTTCATGCGGTTTTGAAGTCCATCTAGTGTATCTAACAAGTTTTCTGAATAGCTCGATAGTAGTAATAGTAGATAGTAGTAAGAATTGGAATAACTAACGGATTGGCAAGGGCAGTTTTGGTAGCAACTGGCAGAAAAATTCTCAATCATCTTAAATATCTTGCAGATACAAACACCATACGACTTTTTCCTGTATTTGAGGAGCCCAGCTTTAATAGTCTCAATACAATCCTAAACTTACGTACTTAATAATTGAAGGATAAAACAGAGGCTTTTAAATTCATTCGAGGACCAAGTGACCACTCAATATTTGAAAATTTCCTAGTACCAAATACAATAAATACTTTTCAATATATTTTAATGTATTGACGTACGGTTTTTTTTCCATAGCAAATTCTTCGCTTGAATGCAAATTGCGCTAATACGATTGTAGATAACTTAAACGTAACTTCTGATTTAAAGTCGTTTACCACAACACCTATTATTTTTCAAACACTGTCATATTAGCGATACAATGATACGGACATTTTTATTTTATTATTACTATACGTACTTACTTAAAATTAGATATCTGCCACTTCGCATGTTATGTTGGCTAACATGACCTATGTTCACGAAATGCAAGTATAAATTTTGATATACTGGTGCTAACCGGTGCTTTCTTTTAAGAAATGTCTAATAAATAGCCATAACTAAATAAAATGACGCATACAATAGAATGAAACTACAAACTTAATGAAAAAAAAAACTCATAATTACTTCAAGCGGTAGATTAATTAATTTTGAAGCTTAAGTATCCAAATAACATGCAGTTACAAAGAGTGAAAATGCCTTAAAGTTAAATACTACGACGTAGGTACGTTAAAATATTATGCTAAATGGCATTTCTTAATCGCTTCTAACATCGCTATTTTACCCATATATTCGTATTATAGTAATAAAATTAATATAGCATTTAATGTTGAGCAAATTTGAAATTCAAATTGATTAGAGTGCAACACTACGTGTCGTCACCTGCGAGGCGCGGGGCGCGGGACGCCGCAGACTTGGCGTCGCTCTGTCGGGCAGGTTACGATTTACACTCCACCAACTCAGCAGAAACTCTGCCCGGACGAGAAATGCTGATAATCCACATCCACAGACGTTGCGCGAGAATTAGATCGAGATTACTATGATACCGACGCGACTGAGACGTTTTATTACTCCTTTATATTTAATTAGGATGTAAATTGACTGTTCCTGAAAATACTTGTGCCTGATCTTGCGGATTAAGATTAAGACACATACTTATCCTCTTAGAAAGCATGCATATTTAAGAAAGAGAATTAGCTTTCGTAGGTTCCTTTCATTAGTACTTAGACTTAGGTATATTCTAATGCTAGCTTTTGACCCGCGGCTAGCGCTGCCGGTACAGGATGATAATCTCAATCAGTAGCTTATTTGTATTCCAGGCAGTAATCTATCTTTATGCCAACTTTCATCCAGATCTACTCAGCCATTCTGGTGTAATTATATAACGATCAGCCATATATCAATCCTCAAAAACTTTAGTATTTATAGTATGAATGGGATTTCTCTGTATGGCAACGTATATTTAACTCATTCTGTCGATATCTATATAGTGGCACCTATCTGTTCCATTGAACTGCTAATTCCCGTCTACGCAGTGATCACGGTCTTTGATTGACCCTAATCAGTCGGGTCATTGATGCAAGGATATATGAATGATCTTTCTAAGGGCACGTCAGTATTCATCATTTACCGATATGTTTTAGATTGTCTCATACTGCGTTGTATTTTAGTTGTTTTCTGTTAGATTTGTATTTTTGTGCAGGTTCATCTTCTTGTGTCTAGATTAACAAGTTGAACTAATGTATATATATATATATATATATTTATATATATTTATTTTGTCCTGACTCATATCAACTGTATATACCTCGACAAAAATGAGAAGGCATATTTGTTTTAAACTGGTTAAATTGGAGTTTATATTTAATCTACAAGTACATTCATATCAGACACTTAAACTGCTGGTTGCGATGCATTTCTTTTTAAGTATTAGTTTTTAATACTAATACGTGAGAAGAATTTTTGTACCCCTTCCTGTGTAAATGTCGTGCAACGAGGAATGTGATATGTGGAACAATTAAATTTTATATTATACGGAAAGTCTGTATAATGACGGAATATTGTAAATTACACTGGTCGCAACAAAATGTATGCAGTCAATGATGATCTAATTTACACTACTAAGTGACTTTTAGTAACTTTCGTTTTCTATAGATTAACATTATAAAAGTAAAATCAAGGTCCTTCAAATTACCTACGTATCTTCACCTGTCTGTCACGCGAACAAAAAGGTTAACGCGATTTAAGGTTTTTTTATTACACAACTTTAATAATACTTAAATACACAAAGATAAACATTCTCCAATGTTAAATCTACGACAGTTCTAAGACAAATCAGCAAAGATGTTACTATCGCCACAACTATATTATTATTACCATAACGTAATGTAAATCTATGCGTAAAATATCTTACATTACAAACTAACATCCATATTTTTTTGTTTCAGATTACAAACAATGGGCGTCTGAATTGTGTTACCGGCTTCAGTCAGCATGTAGTCACAGCAACCAGTTACTCGTGTTTAAAACGAATCCCTCACCTAAGCAGGTAGAACGATATGTTTGCAACGATTCATCACAATCAAGAACCAAATCTGAAGACCAGTTCAATCATGGAGACTGATGAAGTGTTCTAAAAACTGTTATTGGAAAACAAAATTGACGATCAAAAGTGACAATCTTCGTGATATTTTGGACGTTGAAATTTTATTTTTTAAGTCAAAAATGACCTTGCGTAACTAAGCGACTCGACTCTACTACATCGAACTCGATGTGTAGTTCAATGTTAGACAGTGGCATCGTTTTTCTATTATATTAAATGGACTAAGGAAGTGGGAAGTGAAAATTTGCCCCCTCCTGCATCTAACAATTTAGTGTTTAGTCAATTAAGTTCACATTACATCTCAGTGTCAGGAGGCACAACTGACTGATAATGAATTATTTCCGAATGTAGCGAGTTTAATATGTATCAGAAATGAATCTATGCTTAATTTGTAAATAGTTTTCAGTTTATTCATTAGAATTTACCGCAAGTTGTAAACCAAATTGCACATTAACTTGTTATATTTGTGCGAAATATGTACCTTAGCTATTACATTATAAGATCAGATAAGCAATTTTTTTTATGAATACAAATATTTGTTTTTAGAGAAAAATCGCAGTGAATTTATAATACTTTTCATACCTGCGTAAGCAGCTTAATTAAATAGTATTTTGAGATTGATATATACAATTTGACCAGATAAATATTTTATATCTATTGAAGTAACAAATATGAAAATAAATGCTACATAATTTACGATTGTACTAAATAGTTTTTGTCAAAATCCAACTTGCCTCCTTGTAATATATTTGTATTTCTATAAAATATACCAACAATGCAAAAGTTGTTAACACTAATGCCATAATGTACATAGAGTTATGTTATAGTTACATTTACATACACGCGCCATTTTAAACCAAATACCGTTTTTGTAATTGCTCATCGTCCTAGACACCGAAATCGGAGCGGATCTGATAAGTGCAAAGAAACTTCAAATAATTTAACACACGCTTTTAACATATACCGTGCAACCTGCTCCACCATATCTAAAGATATGTCTTAAGGATTGATCTAAAGATATGTGTATAAGCACATTTTTAATTAAGGTTTACAGTGAAAAAAAGAGATGTTGACTTTTGTGTCGAAATCCGTTATAGTCAAATATCTAGTCCCAGATATTATTTTGTTCAATAAGCTACTTTTGTCAAATATAAGCAGCCTTCTACTCATAGATAAGCACTGTTGGGGGGTCTAGCTCGTAAACTCTAATAGCAGAAATGAGTTCATATTGTAAATTACCTCAGTGGACTGTTTGTGATAGATTTAGCCAATAAGTGTTCAATTTAGTACGTGTATCGTATAAGTCAATTCTTGTACTTTTTGGCGTCCATATATTTATATTTTAAAAAACAATGTTTGTTTTTGCACCGTTTCATCGGAACGTCTTATTTACGCATGCCATTTATTAAACAATCACTGCTTTTATACTTTATTATGTATATTTGCAGCTGACAATGGTGCTATAGGTAATATTTTAAAAGCGCATTTTAAACGTTTTTATTTACGTAAATGAATAACATGTGTAAATGACGTGCGTACAAATTGAATTAAAATCGGCCTCGTAAGGTGTCGCATGTAGTACGTATATTTTACTAGCACAAGAAATAATTTCAGGACAGTGACGTGTTAGCGCACACATTGTAATTTATATAAATATGTAGGTAGGTAATGTTTAAATTTAATTTCGTGTGTGACTTAAAGTCGTTTTAGCGGTCAATGGATGTTCAACATCGACCCTGCCTCGGTGATGGATGTCAGTAACCATTTGCCAAATATAAATACGTAAAAATCCAATAACGAACCGATTGTGCGTGATCGGTACTAGTTTATACTTATTGTGAGTGTTCTAGACGAATGATTAGACTCCTCGGAGGTATCTCATGTTAGTTAAAAACTGTTAGATATATTATCTCTTGGTTGTTGAAACGTAATATTACTTACGGTAGTTATACAATGTGGCGATGTGTATTTATGTCAATCTGTGTGGTCAATTACGTATGCACCGAACTAAAGTCTGTTCCATTAAGGCTTAGCATTAATGTGAAAGAGTGAACAAATTTATAGATTGATGTTGTGCTTTTAGTCCTGGTTTGCTGAATAACTGCCTTTGTTTAGCTATAAATGTGGAAACGAAGTTAGTAAATTTTACATAATTACAACAAACGAGGAATATAGAGAACTATTAGGCTTTTGTTTCATCTCTTTCTATCGGAAATATAGAAAGGGGATGCACATAAAGCAAGATGGAATTTAGTTTTCAGCAATCGAACGAAAAACTGTGACTAGAGGCACAAAGTAAAGATTAATATTTGTACAGCGTACAAGATGTGTATCGGTATTAGGTACACAACGTACGAACAACTAAATGTATGTTAAAATAGTTTTGTGGATCATGTCGTTTTTATCTTGTGGTTAAGTGTCGAGCGAGTAGATAATATGATCTAGACGATTGAATTGAGACCTAAATTGTGCGTAAACGCATGCAGCGCATACAATCTCCCAATTGTCTATGCCTATGGGGATTGTCATTAGTTTGTAATAGATAATATATTTTAATATTAGACCATGGTTATTGCATTGCTAGTAATCATGTATGTATTTATAGAGAGCTGGGCGTGCGTCCCTTGCTGAGGTACTTTCGTGTAAATTATTTTGTACAATGTTAAAAATATATGTTTGCATCATTATTTTTATGGTCTAACTTTTAGTAGTTATATTAAGTTTGTTGATTTTTTTCCAGTTGCTTATTCTAATTACTCTACGACAACAATGTGAAAAATCTAGATTAATTAGAATGAAATTATGTGTTTCAATGTAAATATACATATAGAAAAAACATGTATGTAGAAGTACATAAATATTATTTATGTATTAAATTTGATATTGTTTTCAAAATTTAACTGGTCGTTTTATTATCCCTTGTTTGTTTGTGATATAGTTCACTTGAAAGTTAAATATTTGCAGTGCAATAAATAGTCAGCACATATGCGATGCTATAAATACCTCATACAGACTAGTTGTTCTAGTTGTTAGTGAACCTTATTGCTAGAAATCGTGGGTTCGATTCGGTGTGACGAGCATGATCTTTGTTAACAAATGGGTGTAAATTAAATTTCTTGTATATGTATGTATTTCTATGGTAATATACAGGATAATTGACACTATACAACCATCTGTGGAGCAAATTACTGCCTGCAGTATTTCCGAACCGATACGACCTCCAAGCCTGCAAGAAAAGGCATACTCCCACCCCTAAAGAGAAACGCGTTGTCGGCGTGTTTGACTGATGTGTGGCGTTCATGGGCGACAGTAAATAGTCACTTTCCATCAGGTGACGCGAATGCTCCTTATAGGGATTTTATACATCGAAAAAAATACTGACTAATTTAGGATCAGATAGCAGTGTGAGGGGTCCCTCTAAGATATTGGTTAACATGGACGTAGTTGAGTAGGCGGCACTTATTCCATTTGTAAAGAAAGACGGCCAGTGAAGACATCACTAAGATCAGTAAAATATAGGAGTGGCATGAAAAAATAATGTCAGTGTAAAAACGTCCATTTGTAAATGGAGAATATAATATCTGAGAGATAATGTATTATTTTAACGAGATTTATGGATTCATCTATTGAAAATCTTAAATACAATTTCGAATCGATCAAAAAATCGCCATTTTCAGATCCATGCCATATGAACTACAAATCTGATTGCAGTTTGCCATCACATCACATTATTTTGCTGGGGTAACGCACACCGAAAATTCGATCGGTCTTAAAATAAGCACATACACACCTACGCCACAAATTACATCACGGCAAAAGGTGTTTATGGGAATGCAGCCTACGTAACTACTCTTTTAATAATACCGGCGTAAGTAGGTATACAATTTACCATTCCGCAGAACTTTACAAACAAATAGTTCTAATGTATTTGACTGTTATTTGTTATAATAAATTTATATCCTTTAATCTCTGCTGTCGTTTATGACTCAAACAGATATAAAGTTGATAACAATCAATTCGATGTCTGCATTTATAGACACAGACAAAACAGTATGGAAACATCATCATGGAAACTTAAGTGTACGATAAGAAAAGGATTTCACAAGGGTAATAATCTTTTTACGCATTAGAGGCAGTGACTAGGTCTATGTCTGTATGTATGAGTATGTCTTCGGAAAACTTGAAGCAAACGTTACCGACCAGTCTGGTCAGGTATGTGGTCTCATTTCTAAGGCGAGGCCTATGTCCAACAGTTGGACCATTAAAGGCAGTTGATGATAGCAGATTTAGGATAGTCTTCTATTGCAGATTTAGGAGTAATTAATAATTACCAGTAAAGACATTAACATATTTAGTATATAATACCTATTAATTAATTATTTATAGTATATATAATAAACATATATAATAATTTTAATTCTCAGACCAATGCAAAACCTTCTTGACTAGTAGGTAAGTACCTAATTGTACTGACTAGAACTTCACCCGAGGCTCTTGATTAACCAGTCGAATGCTCAATCTGAGCGCCCTAATCCTAACGTTGTAAAATAATGATAAAATAACTAAACACGTTCTAAATCTTATTTCAACAACTTCTTGTGTAATACTCGAATACAGTTTGAAGTTAAATTTCCTCCAAAGTCTTAGTGGTCTTTTTACTAACAACTATGTCCTAGATCACAGTACAGATCAAGCTATTACAGCCTCGGTCCGTTTTCCATCTGAGGCGTTTAATCTCTCGCCTAGCTGCCTCACCCTGTCCGATTTCCTGACTTCAGTTTACCTTCTTCCAATGTTCCGTCTGTGAGAGATTACATTCCCAAGGAAGGTTTGACATTGCATTGTTACACATTACGCATCCCCTCACAAATACAATTGGGGGTTATTCCTCAATTGTATTTGTGGGGAGATGATGAAACTCATGAAAAAGATACTGCTAATGAGCAATCGGTTAAAAGTAATGTTGATCCATTAGAATCAATTCCATATACCAAACATACTTCGCAATTCTAATACGAGTAAGGATTAAAGCCAAGTAAGGTTTACAAACGCAAAAAAAATAACTTCACAAATTAATAGCACTTTCTCTTACCAACATGTCTGATACAGCCCTTAGCCACATAAAACAATGAACATACTGCAATAAAACCATTGATGTTGCCACAGCGCAGTATATTGGTGATGCCCATAGCGATTATGTTGCCTACCCACATTAGTTTCCTTAGGGACACTTTTATTGTTTAACTTTCAGAATATTTAACGCTTTGTAACGGAGATTTTTTTATTACATCTTGGTGAAGTTTTTATTATACCGAGAGCTATTTCTTAAGATTTTTATGTCACTTTCAACGGTACCAAAGTCATCAGTTTATTAAAGTTACAATATAAAATAAAGTTATGACGACACGATTGTTATACGTGAAATGGCCGAACTTGGCATGAATGTCAATGTTTGTTACTCTACGTAGGTATATTATGGGCTAAGAGATTATACTTTGCGCTATTTAATAATAATAATAATATCACACATCTCACACACGGCCGTCTGATTCCAAACTAGGCAGAGCCTGTGCTATGGTAACCAGACTGCTGATAAACATACTTGTATATTTCTAAATGTATACATAATATAGATAAATTACACCCAGACAAAGAACAAATCATCGTGCTCATCACACATTTATTTGTCCTGGGTGGCAATCGAACCCACGACATTCAGCTTAGCAGTCATTGTCACTAGCCAGGCTAGGCCCATCAGCGTATTTACAGCGTCCGGGCAATATGAATAATTACAAGCATAATCTGAGGGGGTTTATACACTATGTTTTAGAATGGCTTCAGGACAAGTAGTCAGTAATACAGTCCATGTGGTTGTGAAGCTGGTATATATCTGACAGATATAGTCACTGCAACAAAAAAAAACGTGCAATCCAAAATTAAAGCAGCGTTATTACTTCATTACATATTATATCACCGGGGCTAAGTCGATACCGAACAACCTAAAACCACACAAAAAGCTTAAGAAACTAGTCCTTCCATTTTATAATTTTTACAGATATAGTACCTATTCTATCTCACCTGCCTGCCTATTTGAAAATTGCTAGGCCTAGATGGTAGTGACTAAACAACTTAAGGAAACGTACATAAGTTTTATAAACTCACTCAAATGGAGGTCATTTGGTCTTCCAAATGACTTCCATTACTTAAATTAACCAATTGCTATTCGAGAATCGGCATATATTGTAGACGAGTTGTTGCTCTGAACATATTTATTACTTGGTGCCTGTATACCTCCATGGTATCTACCGTTTATTTAAAAACCCTAAAAAAGTTTAGAGTCAACGAAATTCGTAATATTACTGGCCAGTAACCTGTTTAGAAAAAGAAATTGTCAGACTGTCAAACATTTGCTAAAAGATTTTGCACCTATTCATATTGTAAACCTATTAAAGTAATCGTCAGTGGGATTTATTGGACGATGAGAGCCAGAATATTGAGTTTAAGAAAGAACATCATCAGTATCATAACTCAGCGCCATTATGGCAAACCACGTTAGTAAATTTTGTTTACAATTCGAGTCCTTTCTTTCCTTTATCTATCAAACCGTTCAATCTTACGAAAGCTGTAATCGTTACCATTTAAGAAGTATTTACTGACTTCAGCCGGTTGCTATGATTTTCCTTTCCTAAAAATACCTACACAATATATGGGTTTTTAAATACTGCTTGCTGGTTTGTAAGGGAAAAATTCAGGGACTAGAACCACTTACGCTGGTAATATAACTGGTTCTATCGCAACCAGGTGACTAGTTAGAAAAACAATTCTTCAAAAGAAAGAAACAGAACCCTATTTTGTTGTCAGTCTGTCCTTGAGATACCCTTTATCTCGTGAACGCATGCGAGGTATCGAGTTAAAACTAAAACCATATACCCTGAGTATATGGTTTTAGTATTTTTCTACAGTCCCTTGAAGCTGTGAAAAAATCAAACTTCTAAGTATACGTTAAAAAAAGATACGGCCGTTTATGCCACAAAAACGTATATTTCGACACAAGGGAATCAAACTTTATAGAGTACTAGCTGACCCGGCAAACGGTGTTTTGCCAAAAAAAAATTTAGGGATGGGTCACCCTTACCATTTAGGGGTATGAAAAATAGATGTTGGCCGATTCTCAGACCTACCCGATGTGCACACAAAATTTCATGAGAATCGGTCAAGTCGTTTCGGAGGAGTACGAGAACGAACATTGTGACACGAGAATTTTATATATAAGATTTTCATTGACCTAAAACTATGAAATTTAGCAGGTAATACCGTCTTATACTACAAGTATAGGGCAAAATCTGAAAACTACAAGGAACGGCGGCACAAATTTTGATTTGAGTAAACCGTGTCATGTGGGGTATCATATGAAAGGGCTTTATTGGCACAAGCTTAACAGATTTTAAATTATTTATTTTATTTCATTATTTAAATCGAGAACTATACATCATAAATGTATAGTTCTCGATTTATGACGAAGAATGAAAAAAGTACCTACAACCTTGTACGGAAACCTCGGTGAGCGAGTCCGACTCGCACTTGTCCGGTTTTTCATTATTATTATTATTTTCTATTTGTTATGTTTCACTTCAGTTTCTTTTATTTGATCTTTTTTTCTCAATTTTATTTTGCTCTTTTCTCTTTTTTCTTTTTAGTCCTTAATAACGGACATAATGCAACCCATCAAAACAATGTTGTGGTATATTCAATGATGTCATTGTAAATTGCATCTGTAAATTGCAAAAGAGTGACCATGAGTTTGTTTGCCCTTTTTTCTCACAAGGCTCAACCCCTTGGAAACGGGCAACGGTTGTAGATCGGCACATAGTTTCTCCGGATTTTTTTAAGTGTTAAAACTGCAAAGTGAGGGGACACATTTTTGCATAAAAGCTTTAGGCCCGTCACCCGATTTCTATCAGCGGCCGCTGATAGAAATCCGGTCTGATACCTCGTCGGTTAAGTTGAAACAAAAGCCATTATGGTTAAGAGTAGAGAAAAATCATCATCTTCAAAAAAGGGCCGTGGGTTCATTTGGCATCTACCTAGACACAGTGATCCACCTCATATTTACTATCATGTATTCTCGTAAGTCAATTTTTTTTGCATTTTAATAATAATATTTTTTTGACAATTTGACAGTTCAATTATCAAGACATTAAAGTGAGCACCGAGGTCACGTCTATTGTTATGTGCGTACCGAAGTGGACGAAGCTGAGGAATGCTGCTAGTGATAGTGAAATAAAAAGATTATTTCCCGATTAGGACATGAATGTCACCCCTATTTAATAAGTATGGGACGCAATCTCGTACCTAATTCTGATACTAGAAAGTGAATAACCTATAATTGTTTCCGTAGCTCGCTGTGACGCGCACATGAACGAGTTACCTGTTCCTTGCGGTCCATGGGAGCCATGGTACACAGCAAAGCAGAACCTCTACAACAAATTCTTAGTGGTAGGAATACTGTGGTAAGAGAAACCAACAATTATAATCCTGGGACTATTCGATTTCTTTTTTTTTGTTCATCATATCGGTAACAGATAAACTAAATTGAACTTTTGTTACAATAGAGTATCTAATTCAAAGAAAACTAGTGCTATTCCAAAAGAAGCAACCGTCCAGTGTAATCATCATCATCATCCTTTGGTAGTCCACTGGCCTATGACTTTCGTTAGAAAGGAGATTTTGGCCTGTGTATTGAATAGATTCAACATTTCATGGTATTTTGGTTCCAGGTGGCTCTTTAGCTTGGGAATGGTAATTTACACCGACAGCCTTTTTTTCAATTGGGGCCCACCTTTGAACCCCGGTCCTCCGAGTGATATGGTCGAAGAATGCGACGATAGTGATTCTTAAAGATGTACTTTGAAACTAATATGCATTGTTTGTGGTAATAAAAGCAATTTGTCATTTATTTGTCACAACATTTAAATAATCCCACTTTTTTTTACCGCATTGGCAATGGCGAACAGCACTTCGCTATTTAGGATGTCGGCAGTCCGCGGGTAACGATGTATTTATAACGATCGAGCAGGGTACATTTCAAGGTGATAGTCTGAGTCTCTTTTGGACTTGGGACCCTCTTAGCACTCTATTAGAGGATTCAGGGTTAGGCTATAGGTTGCAGAAAGATGATCAAGTTATATCTCACCTTCTTTATTTGGATGATTTGAAACTACTAGCCCCCTTAAATTACAATTGCCAGCGTTACTGAAGGTGACGGAAAGCTTTAGTAATTCTATCAAGATGGAATTTGGTTTAGACAAATGTGCAGTCATGTATGTAAAGAAGATCGTGATAGCAGAATCTGAAGAACAAGAGCTTTTAGATTCAACAAAACGTGGACACGACACTTCACACTCTGGCAGAATGCCCGGCGTGTGTAGAGCAGAGGCATGACCTAGTGACTGATTGCGGCCATGTTGTGGGTGTTGGTTGTCTTCCTGTCCTTATGTCCCAATATTAGGTTATACTTACTATGTGACTACTAAGCCCTTTAACCAAAATGATGGAGTGGTGGTGTATGTCAGGAGTAATATTGGACGCGTTTCTATAAGTCAGCCAAATTTTATGGATGCTAGTTGTGTTCAAATGAACGTAGGAATTGACACATTCTTGCAATTTATTGACTAATAAATTATGTATTACTCAAGACAAAATTGAATGCGGTTGCCATTGTCATCGACTCTACCATCACTGATCATAATGCCGTTTTAGCCTCTCTTGACAAATCAAAAATTGACCACTCGTGCGCTATGAAAATCGACTATACTCAGAAAGTTACTTACATGATATTGCTTTTTATTATGTATGTGATGCAAATGTTGCTCTTGATTGCTTTGTTAATTCATTGACTGGAGCTTAAAAGATGAGTACTAACACATACGCTGTTCCGCATCGATTGAGAATAATAAAGGCGTGGATAACTCCAGGTGCTCTGAGATGCTGGCGGCCGTCGGAGTGGGAGTTCTCTCGCTCGGTAGCCTGATTGCGGCTATCGTGCGGAGCGAGAGTGCGTAGAACTCTGCCGTCTCCTTCTGCGGGCAAGTTATGCTCGCGAAGGAGACGGCGGAGCGGGACCGGGAGAGGTTTAGGACTCTCCCGGCCCGCCAGGCCCGGGAACGGGCCAGGTACCGCATGCGACTCAGGCGCCGGAGGTCGCAGAACGACCTCCGTCCTCCATAAGCGCAGGCCGGAGTGGCGGCGAGCGCCTCGCGAAGCGCGCTCGCTTCCAGGGAGCACAGGGAACATGGGGTTCCCACACGGGGGGGGGGGGGGGGTGGGGGGGGTGGGGGGGGGGGGTCGTCTACTCGTCTGTAGATGACCCGAGGTATGTCGGGGCACCAGGGACTTCCTTTCTAGGATATACCTGGTTCCCCGGCTATTAGTACCCGAGACGGCGTGCGGTTTTAGTCGGTTCGAGTCCGACATGCCACCGACAGGTGGTATCCGAGGGGATTTCCGCACGGAAAAAAAGTGTTCTGAGATGCATGAAGAATAGGGACTAAGTAATTAACAAAAATAAATATTAATTTAAAACAATAGTTACTAAATGGCTCCAAAAATTAACGTATAAGATACGGAGAATCTTCATCCAATTCTGTAGAACAATTAGTCCGTTACACAAACATCTACGCCATCCGGTTGTTTATCAATCAGAATGCCTGGTTCTTAACACACTACTAATCGAGAGTACAACGTCATTAAATTTGATGTCAGGTAGTTCAGACCACACCAGGGACTTCCTTTCTAGGGTATACCTGGTTCCCCGGCTATTAGTACCCGGCGACGGTGTGCGGTTTTAGTCGGTTCGAGTCCGACATGCCACCGACAGGTGATATCCGAGGGGATTTCCGCACGGAAAAAAAAAAGGTAGTTCAGACCAGTTGATTTTAAAGTGCATCCTGGGACTGCCCATAACAATGACTTTGGTTTTTGATGGATTATCAACTAGTCCATACTGGCTGCTCCATTTACACACCCACGCCATATCCAAGTTTATAACAGAGAAAGCTTCAGACAATTTGTTTAATGGAGCTTGGGTATAAATTTGAAGATCATCGGCGTAAAGGTGGTAGGACGAGAGTAATGATTTAGAACTTAATACAAATGGTCAAAAGCGAAGGAGATAAAACGCCGCCCTGTGGTCATGAGGAAAGGGATTCTTCAAACCGCACACGCTGCCTTCGACCTAACAGGTAACTATGAAACTAATCTCAATCACCGTTGGAGATAATAATATGTTAATAGTGTGTAAAATGCAAGATGTCGAATTCTACCGTATTAAAAGCATAAAGCATAAGGCTGTAGCCAGCACGGAAGCCCGATTCATAGGGATTTAAAATGTGGTTTTGCATGAGGTAAGTTAGTTAAGTGTGGGCGAGGCGTTCGGGGACTATTGACAGAAAGGACAATACAGAAATTGGACGGAAGTCGGAGAATGATGAAGGATTGGGTTTCCTAGGTAGGTGAATAATCTGTATTTTTCAAACATTTTTCAAAATTTAGTCAATTTTTTAAGTGGGAAAACACTCGAGAGGCAGTACAAAACGCTTTCGCTGACTTCATCGCCTCCCGTCTAGTAGACTTCTACAGTAAAGTTATAAACAAACTGCCATCAAAATGGCATAAATGTATAAATAATTAGGCCAGTACTTTGATTAGCTTGAATAAAGAAATATGAAACCTAGAAATGATATATGTCTAGATCGTAGACACGATTCATTTTAGCCGTAGGATGATCATTATCCTCAGATGATGATTACATGTATATCAACGGCATAAAAGTATTATTAACACAAAGTAAACTGCTCCCTAAGTTATATAACATTTATAAGTCAAATAGGTACGTTTTTAGAAAATATTTATGTATACACACAACATACTCAGTAGACTAGTATAATCGAAAAAGTTATGAGAATTATTGTAATGAATTAAAATCTCTCCAAAAACTAAGGATTTATTGTTCTTAGAATGCAACATATCGCGTTCATAAAAGTAGAGAAATGTTTATGCAGAAACACTATTTAACATTGCATATCTGTAACTTACCAACATTGGACATTTAGGACGTATTCAGGTTCTAGAAGAGATTAATAGTACGAGGGCTGCTATTTATGTATCCGGAACAGGCCAGTTATAGAACAATATTAAAATTTGTTTATATTAAATTGTTTCATGTATCTGTTGTTCGTCAAAGACACGCAATTTTCAAAATGACTAAGATTTGTGGCGTCATTTTGAAAATTGCGTGTCTTTATCACTATGGATTTAATTCGTGAAAATTTTCGTGCTATGATTTATTACGATTTTCGGCGAGGGCTAACTCAAAAACACTGCATTGATCAACTTCCTTCGACTTTCAAAAACAACTGTGTATCACTGATTTAGTGAGTTTAATCGAGGGCGGTGTCTGCTCACGGACGAATTTAAAGAAGGTGGCCCTAAATCTGTTGGTTGTACCTCAAAATATTAATGCTGTGCGGGAACTAATAATGCAAGATCGTCATGTTACATATCGCGAGATAGAAGCGTCTCTGGGAAGTATATATATAAAATATTACACGAACATTTAACTGTAAAAAAAAAAATTATTGACCAAAAAAAACGGGCTCGTGTCGGTTGTGTAAAAAAATGTTACAAAAGTACAATCAGGGCGCGTTAAAAGCTGTCTATACTATCTACACAGGTGATGAATCTTGGATATATGCGTACGATCCTGAAACTAAACAACAATCGACGATTTGGGAATTCGAAGATCAGCGGAACCCAACAAAAGCCACTTGTTCAAAAAGCACTTAGAAACAAATAGTTGAGTCGCTGTTTTTTTGGTTTAAATGGAAATGAGGCTACAGTGCCACTAGAGGATCGTAAAACGGCTAATTCTGAATGGTACACGAGCATTTGTTCGCCAGAAGTCTTTGAATAAATAAAGAATAACCGACAACGCAGAATTCTTCTTCATCATGAAAATGCTAGCTGCCATACGTCGACCGAAACAACTCGAATAAAAGGGTCATCCGCCGTACAGCCCTGACATGGCCCCCAACGACTTCCATTTATTCCCAACCGTGAAGGAAAATTAAGTGGGCAACGTGTTTCGAGCCGTGAAGAGGCTGTTGATGGGTTCAAAATGCACGTTTTGGAGATACTACAATCAGAATGGAAAAAGTGCTACGAAAAGTGGTTCCAACGTATCCAAAAATGATCATCACGGCGAAATAAATGTTTTGGAAAGAAATAAAACTATAAAAAATGCTATATGTTTGTTTCACCTTGTTAATCCGGATACATAAATAGCAGCCCTCGTATCGATAAATTTGCTATTAACGAATGCGCGTTCATCATTTGTTTGATATTTTTATTATTTAAACACAAATCCCCAAGAATTAAATGAAATGAAAAAATAGCAAAACATTTAGTATACAAGGACACCATAGTTAAGTTGTAGAAATGTGGTGGTAGTATTTGCCTGTTGAATTAATCACTTCCAGGTTGAGTAACGTGACGTCACTTCAACACCCGAGATATCCTGGGAATTGTCATCACTGTATGTAGTGATGACAATGAAAGAAGACGGTGACACGCATTTGTCAATTGCAATTTATATAAAGCATGATTCTTATATATTAAGTAACAAAAAATCGATTCTTTATTCAATTGCATCGATATATAGAAAATCATATCTTTGATTTGTGACATTACTAAACATAAGGTCAAAGATAAACCTTCATAGCAGTGAGGGTTAAAATATAATTTAATCGACGACAGAAAGAGGGAATATCGTGTCTCGGAAATTCGCCTTAGTGTAAAACTTACTAGTAAGTGTAATTTAGGGGGAAAAAGCCTTGTCAACTTATCGATGTCTTGTCTTTCTATGGTAAATGATACAGCATTGATTTTATTTTACAGTTTTTTTTAAATTTTTATACGGAACTTTACAGAGCTATAAATTTTTGAAACAGTTTTTGGTCTATGGTGATTAATGTTGTTTTGGGATACGACAAATTCGCTTTTTGCCGTCTTCATGATCTTTCACGTGCATTTTGTTTGAATATTTCGAATGAATAAGTAAACATTACTTACATATTATTATTACTACATCGTTAAATTCAGAGTCAGTAGCTGTACGTTAAATTTCAAGACCATTTTCACTTAATATTTTCAAATGTCATCATAAAGCGATACAACATCAGAAACGATACTTTTCAATACATTTATTTATATTAATACTTTAATACACTACTTAAATACCTACTTAAATGAGTCAAATCGCTTTCCACTATACACACAAACATACTTTGTAATTATTGCATGACGAAATCGTTTAGATATATAACAATATTGATTCAGTTTAGTATTTGACACAGCCGAGTTTCTATATTATTAGAATTGAAACTAAACTGAGTTAAAAATTCTATTGTTTACAGCAACACCTGAGAAAAAATACATTTTCAAACTGTTTCAAGCCCGCTTCACCCTTTTTGACTTATTAAGTATAAAGATAAGAAAGATGCGGTAATACACTGTTCATAACAAATTTAAATTATATGTATACCAGTAAGGTAAAATTTGGTGTATACAATTTGTGATTTTATTTTTTAACCCCTTTGTAAACACATGTAGCGCAGAGAGCTATATAATGTTTTACAGTATGTGCTAAGTAAAGTTAAATATTATATAAAGCGGCTACATAGGACTGTAGGGGTTCAGTATATACTATGACCTGGCGCAGTACAAAGTCAATTAACTAAAATAAGAATTAAAACCAGTAAGTAGCAAGTTCCGAGTGTATATATGTAGATAAAATAATCAGGACAGCTCACTCACAGCACAGTGGTTTACTAAAATTATATGCATTTAACCTAATTCCATAATATTGACATATAAGATGTACAAAGGCTCAATCAAGTCTCAATCTTGACATTTTTTCTATAATACTACAGTTATATACAGTTAGCAATTACAGTCCTTTAAAACATTTTAATAAAAAAATCACAAATGAAAAGAAAGCTAATAGGTATTTATGTTAAACTTTTTCCGTTGATGTCACAAACATAATGTGTTTTATAAAAATCCTTCACAGCTGTTTTGAAGATCAATAGTATAAATGATCGTATAAGGTAGGTATCTCATTAGAGTAGATTTGGCAATGAAATTAAAATACAGCTTCATGACGTCATTAAACAGGTTTACTAATGTTATTGAGTTACGTGGTGCAGTATTTTTCTCAGGTTTACAGTTGACTGGATATATTATAAGTTAGGGATGGAATACAATCACAATCACCTGTGATAAATCATATGATTTACACTTATTATAACATATGGTTGAAGTCTTTGATAAAAAGAAAATTTGCTTAAGTTTTTATGGCATTTATCTTGTCTATGACCAAATCACTGTACTGATTTATCACAGATGAAATCACCGTGACTAAAACCAATCATTTCATCATATGATTATGATTTAAAACAAGCAATTATTTCCACCACTATTATAAATATATCTTAGTTCTAATGCAATCTATTCGCCTTTAGGGAAATCGATTTTAAGTCTATCCGACAACTATAGTAGATTCAAATAAAGCGCTAAACTAAACTATGATATATCATAATGTAATAAAGTGAGAGTTATCTACTCTCTGGTTTGGGTTTGGGCGGTTTGAAACCTTGGATTTTCTTTTTCTTTTTCTCTTTACCACCACCAGATTGGAAGGTTTTCCAACTGTCGACGCGATTCTGACGAGATTCCTGTAACCGAGAAATTATACTATTATATAGTAAACTAATACATAGTTTTGTATTAGAGCATTAACAGTTTATTAGTGCGTATAGTACACTGGCAACCGCAATTCGTAACACCCTCACATGTATTACACCATTCTTAGAAAGCTTTTTAATGTCATCATAAGGCACTAAGCAAAGATAAAATAAAAAATATATTTTCAATCGCTATTTAAACATTAACCTATATTTTAAGTTTTGGCGCGCAAATTCATAAGAATGCTACATTGCTGTGTTGCTCTTTCCTCAGTGTCATTTGGTCAGTTTATGACTTTTTGATAAAAATAATCTGTTTTTTTTTTCAAGACAACACCCGCATTAGAAATATATCCTGTGTCGCGGGGGATTTTACAAACATACATGAAACGGACACAAATAACACCCAAACTCAGAACAACTATTTGTGGATCACACAAAGTGTCGTCCTATGTGGGGATCTGACCCACAACACTCAGTGTCGTAGTAAGCGGCGTGGCGACCGCTTAAACCACTGCGCCATTAGTTCAGTCAAAAGTTAATATTATTACATTATTTTCTTTTTTAAACACAACGCCGGCACTAGGAATATATCCTGTATCGCGGGGGACTTTACAAAACATTCATGAAACGGAGACAAAAAACACCCAGACTCAGAACGACATTATGTGGATCACACAAAGTGTTGTCCCATGTGGGAATCTAACCCACAACACTCAGCAGCGTGGTGACCACTTAAACCACTACGCCAGTCAAAATAATTTTGTTAATGGAGATATAGAATTTGTAATTTAGCAGAAACAAATTAGCATTTATGGCAAAAACCTATGATAAAAGAGCATATTCTGATTTCATCTCCAGGTTATTATCATATTACAAAATTCAGCTTTCGCAGATATTTTGTAGATATAATAAGTATTAAATCACTTTGATAATCAGCAGAGAAAGTCGCAGAGTCACTTGCGCATGGCGACACCGCATTCATGAACAGCCATTAACAGTCCACTGCTGGACAAAGGTCACTCCTTAGAGAGAAGGTTTTAGCCTACTATGCCTCGCTGGTCAGACAGGTTGGTATAGGGTTTGTTTCTAGTTTTCCTTTTCTTTGCAGTGCTGTTGTCCTGCTAGTTTGCTCTTATGACACCCATGGGATGAATAGGGTTGGTGACACTACTACGAAGTAGTGTCACCAATGTGGTTACTCATCTGCTGACAGATTAAGAATACGAATTCTTAATCTGTCAGCAGATGAGTAACAACATTACATGTTATATGTACTATCACATAGCGTGGGGACGCGTCACACGCCAACAGTCTGTCTTACTCGGCAGTCAGCCGAGTAAGACCGACTGTTGGCTTTAGGTGTTGCAGACCAATAAATATTTAAAAACAAACCTCGAAGTTCTTAGCCCACTCTTTCTCAAAAGATTTTTGTTCTTCCTGTTCAATTTCTGCTTCTCGTTTCCTCTTTCTCTCCTCCATGTCCCTTACTTCCAGGTGTTGACGTTTGCGTTCCATATCCGCAAATAACTGTAATTCAATAATAAAACATAGTTAGGAAGGATATTATGGAAAAAAGATTGTCATCAGGTGTTTGAGGATATTGATACTGCTTTATGGTACACTAGCAACAATTACGTAGTCCAACATTTCAATGGAAATACTGTAGACGTAACAACTGTCATCGTTTTGTAATAGTACCAAGAGGTAAACTAATTGAAAGCAGATATAAACACCAAAACTTACAAAACTGGTAACTATGTAGTAAATAATGTGATATTAAGGGTTGTTGTAATATAAGTATTCCCTCTAAAGAACACATGAATAAAGAGTAAAATTACTGATAAACATTATGCCTGGCTAGAATTTGTACAAAACAATATTTTGGAACAAAGTTTGACAAGCTATGTTTTTTTTTAAATTTATTAAGTAAAAGGTATTATTGTTGATACTCAGTTATTTAGTACTACTGGTTACTTTTTTGTTATGATATTATGACTACACATACACATGTTCTAAAAAAGCTGCATCCAAACATATTTTATATGCATTTAACAAATTATCAATATATCAATAATAAATGAGTATAATTTAAAAGTCATGAGTATTTACCTCAAAAATTTGAAATAAATTCATATATTACCACAGTCTACTAACACTCAAGTTATGAGAGAGTACCAAAATCATATATTGGCATGCAACATAATTTATACTCATAAAATTTACCTTCATTGTCATAACATAAACAGCATGTTTGTATTTGATAGGATCGTCTTCAGGAATAATTTCAGCCAAACGGTTTTCTTTTTTAAGCTTTTTCCTTTTCTGTTCAATCTGAAATTTTTGTAATTAATTTTGTATTTATGAACAATTTAAGGTATGACCAATACATAGATTTGTAAATTTACCATGTGATCAGTTCGTTCCTTAGCCTCTTCACAAATGTCTAAGCATTTTTTTCTTGTCTCATCACACTCTAGTATCTTCCAAGCTCTGTTCACTAGTTCAAAGGCTTGTTGTGCTCTCTCTAGATCATCCTGGAAATTAACATTCACTTAGGTCATATTTTATAGCAAAAATTATAAATTCTATCTTGCGAACAGTTAAGTAAGGCTTTACAGATATTTTTAAGTGCTTGTATTTTTTTTGTTTTGATACTCGTTCACACCTAAGATCCACTGTTTCCTTACCTAATACAGGCTGTCTCACGATGTCCCTCGGAATGATTCCATCTGTGGATAAAAATGAAATGTTGACGGGTATAACCGTCTAAAAGAATCCTAAACGTCTGGCAGCTTAATACACTAGTTTGGGATTTTAAAGTAGGTCATAGGTACCCTTTTCTAATTCAATATAAAATACGCAATCCAAGAGATTTTAATTGAATATAGAGAGATAAATTGTATGACAAAACTATAATATAAAAGTTGGGTAACATAGCAAATTTTATTGTTATATTATTGAAGTTGAATTGGGTCAATTATCTGATGGAGAGTATAGATTGATACAAATTTTCTTACCATATTTTTATCAGGATGCACAAGTATAGACAATCTACGATATTTCTTTTTTATCTCATCCAATGAAGAGTCTGGGTCAACTTGCAATACCTCAAATGGATTGAGATTGAAATAAGTGGAACCAGGGCGTAGTAACCTCTCAATTTGCTGTACGGGAGTCAAGACTGAATCACGTTTTTCGATTTCTTTCACCTGTAAGAATGTAACATTAATAATTACGTAAATAAATTTAAAATAATAAATAGTTTACACGCATTATCATCCCATATTAGCAGAACAGCCAAACATATCAAAATAATGCCATTCAACAGTTTTGAAAAAAAAAAATTTAAACATCGCGGTGATAATACTGTTATTCTATTTCCAGGAAAGTAAAAATAATAGTACATAACTTTAGTAACATAATTCTTACCTCGGTGTAGAACTCGTCAAACGAATCTGACTTTGCAGCAGATGTTGCGGAAGACATATTTAGTTTTTAACACACTTTTACAATACGATGTAATCCACTAAAATCAAAATATTATTAGTTACTCATAAATAACGTTCTTAAATCTATTTATTTGTACGAATTGAGTACAACATCCTACAATTTCACAAACAAATACCACAGTCACATTACAATACAATTTATAATTGCACTGCACATGAACATGAACAATGATAATAGAGAAGTTCGTCACTGCGTCGCTAACCATAATCGACTATGGTGACTCGATTCTAAACAAGCATTTACACGGTGTCGATCTAATTTTATGATTTTGTCGTGCACCAATTATAGTCTCAAACAGACAGATGTACAAACAAGGTATATATGTGAAGTGCCAGAAAGTAAGGTTTACAGCTTTCAGTCACCTGAATGCCGCATATCGCTCGAACACATCTTTTTTGGGCTTTAAAATGCTTTCCTTGTTTGTTGATTTGCCCCCATTATACATCACATGTAGATGTAACAAAAGCGTAATGTAAAAAATACACACTTTGCTTAGAGATGTGATTTGTTCTACTTGTTTTTTTTAAACTACTAATAATAGTAATTACTTAGGTTATCCTTATTGCACGTTTTGTATAAAGGCCTGAGAGGTCTAATCTTTCCAATAATACATCTGAGTCAAGGCACATGTAAACAATGTGACATGGTATTGATGCAATTAAAATGCAAATTGATTTAGTTTTCTTAGTAGTGATGTCGTCATATCTCGCACTATTAGTGTTATTTTAATAATGTAATAAAATACACTTAAAATTGATAAACTTTAATATACAACTAACAATTTCGTCATCGTCATTACCTTGCTTGTGATGAAGCTTGCATACTTTAGTGAGGGAACTTAAGTCAATTTAGTAGTCGATTTCAGTAGTCGTAGTAGTAGTAAAAGACTTTAAAATCGCATTTAGTTTATTGAATGGTAACAAATTATTAACACAAATTCTGTTCTAAATAGTTTAACATTTATATACAATGATGATAATAAGCATGGGTAAATCATTACAACATGTGCTCATGTGTTAATTTACTTAAATTAAGCCGTTATCTACATTTGGTACTATTTTAAATATGTTGATAATATAAGTTTACTTCAAAACTATAGTTATTAATATTCGCTTTAGAAATATACATATTGTTGTCTAATAATATTAATAAAAGAGTTTTTTGTGTGAGTGAAAATTATCTAAGACTATGACTTAAAAGTTAAAAGTTCGAAACGACGAGAATGACGACGTGAACTATTTTATGTCATTCAAAATAGGTACTCAAATCAAATTGACAGAATATACTTATTAAAGTATTTAAACTTTTATTTTATGTCTTTTGATAAACGTTGCTAACCGTGTGTTTTATACCTTGTAAGTATTTTAATATTGATTTACTTATTAAATAATTTACAGAAATTTGTTAAAATTATCATTGTTAGTGTTTTCGTTTTCTATCAATAATAATAATTAATGTTATAAATATAATTTAGTAAATCGTAGTAATTCAATCATGAAAGTTATTAAAACTGTGCACAATAGATGATTTTTACACTTATTATTATTTGATTATTATAGCGTTAAAGAATATTTAGAAGATAAATAATACACACTCTAGTACAATAATAAATTCATAAATTCTATCATTTTTATAATCTGGTTAGAATACATCAAATGAAAAGAATGACATTATACTGTCCTCTTTTCTTTCTTTTCCTAATAAAATATATTTATGACTACTAATAATTAATCATTCAAATAATTAAAATAATAACGGAATTGAATAAATAACAAACAATATTTTATTTCTTTTAGACACTATTAGATCAATATTTAAATTATGAAGATGGATATCAATAAATAATAGATAATAAATAACACAGAATTACCATAATTTTATCCTACCATATTCATTAAAAACTGAACATTCTATTCTATACATATATTGTTATGTTTGTCTTATCTTCTAAGAGATTATGTTAAATGATTGTTATCCTTAATTAAAATGACTTAACTATTCGGTAGGAAGTGCCAGGCTCTTAACAAGAAGAATTTCCTTTTTTTAATTCATTGAATAGTATGTTTAGTATCAATTAGTATCAAAATCTTTGTAGGTACAAATATTATGATAAAAATGTGTTTGACTACTTAGCCTTCAAACTTACATATATACAATTTTCTATTACTCATAACAAAAATTTATAAAAGTCTTTAATGATTCTTTTAAATAAATTGTGTTTTTAAAACTTGCAATTTCTTTCTTCAGGTAAAGTTTCAGTAAAATCCAAAAGTAAGTTCAATAAAAAAAAAAAAATTCAGGTGTTCTTCTTCTTTTCACTTGTTTCTTATAACAAATTATGAAACAGTTAGTTTTTTAGATGATTACATGTTATTTCTCCTGTTTTCCATTGAAGAAAGTTCCGTTCCGTTAAGAATTATAATATATCAATTAGGACCTGGAAGTGTATTATTGCGGCATGTTAGTGAGAAGACATTTGCTATTAAATTAAATACTTAAGCTCCCATTGTTCTGATGCCTATTTACAAAAATCTTTTTTAGAGTCTTTCTTGCTCTTTTTCTCTCTTGGAATAAAATTAATTTAGAAAAAATAAAACATGTACAGTCGAGTTCTTTAATATCTGACCATGTTCATGAATCAAGAATATATAGGCAATGGTATGTTTCATAAAATTCTAAACAGCTTTGCCTTACAATAAATTTTAAACACAATATCAACAATATCGCTGCCCACAAGACTCTAAATATTGTGTGCAATCCCTTGTTTATCAGTGACAAGTGAGGTTCAGAAATATCTATGTAAATTTTCTATGATATATATTTTGATGTCTTGAATTTTTTTTCTTAAATTCTTTCATAATTTGTAATAATCTCCTTACAAAAGGAAATTCTATTGTAATAATGGCAATTAAGTAAAGATTGTTTTTTTTTTGAAAATTTAATTTGATGTTGACGGGTATTGATTAAGTGGACATATTAAAAGATGTATTTCTTCCAACCGGTAAAATTGTTTATTCCGATGGTCATAGAATCGAATTTGTAGGATGGAAGTGGCGTCTACAATGCAAGAAAGGTCCAAAGGTGGATAGTTCAACAAAAAAATTTACATTTAATTAAACTCCTGCCAAGAAGTCCTGACCTAAACCCCATTCAAAATTTATGGGGTTAATGGTTCAAAATTAGGACTCCATGTGAGTAAGATCAGTAACCAATTTAAGGGCCCACTCATGAGATTTGGGAAACATGCGCCGCCTGTCCAAACATGATTGCAATATATATCAGATTCCAAAACTGGCAGCACTATTGCTAAAATCTTACCTGTAAGTTCCCTTATTTGAAATGTTAGATTTTTAGAAGAACAAAATAAATATTTTAGAATACCTAATAAATTATTAAATCAATATTTGCTTAAGTAAATGGTATTTTAATTTAAAAAAACAGACTAAGACTAAGACTTAAAGAAACAGTAAAAACGGCGTGAGGGGTCTATGGACCCCCGGTCGGAACTAAGTGCCTTTCGCTTTGTGATATTATATCTAATATACTATGTCATATTTTCATTAAGAATTTTATTGAGAATAGGTGAGTTATAGTTACTAGGTAAAGTTTTTGATTTAATTAGTTAAAAAAGGTTGAACATTTTGTAATAATAAAAATAATTCAGTTTATTTTTTGCTTTTCAGTGTTTTTTTTATGCAGGGAGTTTTTTAAATCGGTGCAATTTTTTTTTTATTAAATTGTTTATTTTACAATTTTTTGCGTAAATACTCATAGGTTAGTAGGTTCAACTATTTCATATAAGTTGCGAGAGGTAGCATAAATCGGTATGCTAGTAATGGTAGGCCTTAAATCGTACGATCTTGGTGGCTAGTTGACATCAGAATTTTGGGAGATAATGTGTTCTGGAAATCGTTGCTGCAATAAGTCGATTGTTTCATGCGCGGTGTGGCAGGTGGCGCCGTCCTGCTGAAACCACATGTTGTCCAGATCCATGCCGTTCAGTTGAGGCCACAAGAACTCTGTTATCATATTTCTGTAACGTATGCCGTTCACAGTCACTGCAATTTCGGCCTCATCTTAAAAAAGGCCCAATCACACCGCCTGACCGAAATCCGACCCAGACAGTTGCTCGTTGTGGGTGCATTTGTTTCTTATGGATTTCTGAGCACCAAATTCGACAATTTTGTGTATTCACGTAGCCATTCAGATGTGATGGCAATGCGCTTCATCGGAGAAGATGACTTTTTTCGAAAAATTGGCTTCAAAAATTGGCCGACTTCACTTTGCTCCATTACTCATTGAACGAAATGCCGGCGCTTTCTATGGTCTGCTGGAGCTCTTGAGTTAGCTATATCTTGTACGCATGAAGTTGGAGGTCTTTTGTCAAAGTTATGGAGAACGATGCCGAATTGATGTTTTTAGGTTTTCGGCGACACTCTTTTACAGCAGCAATGTTTTCAAGAGACCGACCGGTACGTTAACGCAAAGGATTCTTAATATCCGTAATCGACACCGTTTCTTCAAATTTTTTGACCACTCTTCGAATGTAAGTTAAGTCGAAAAAGTGCACCTAATGTGTCAATTAGGTGGACTTTTTCGACTGAAAATTTGGCGAAGTTTGCGAGCGGTTTCAGCGTAACTTTCCCATTTTTGTAATGAGTTTTCACAATTATAATGCTTTATTTTTTCGAAAAGCGCTCCATTGTTAATAATCGGAATAAACAACGGTGACAGCTGTCAAATTTCAGAGTTTCCACCACAAAAAAAAAGATTCTAAATTTAAAAAGTGAGACACTCTTTATTAGTATGTATGAAACTATATGATCGTTTTAACGCTTAAAATATTTTGAAATACTGGCACTGCCGATATATTATTGAACTCGACTTCCGCCTTGTTTTACACTCGGGAGATTAGATAAGACCACATTTAAGAGCCAAAGTTCGTTATCAATGCATAATAACTATATTTGAAATATGTATTAGTTTATATATTTATTTTATTAAATTAGTAAAGTTAATGTTAAAGATTAGGTATGATTTGTAATCTGACTTAAATTACGATTTCTTTTAATCAGGACTCTGCAATGTTCTCAAACAAAGTTGTACTTATCACTGGAGCTAGCTCTGGTATTGGTGCCCAGACTGCTATAGACTTCGCTAAAGAGGATGCGAAAGTTGCAATTACAGGAAGAAACAAAGAAAAATTGGATGATGTTGCCAAGCAATGTAAAGAAATTTCCCCCAATAAGTTGAAACCGTTGATCATAATCGCTGACATGAATAAGGAGTTTGATGTAGAGCACATATTAAAAGTAACAATTGCGGAATTCAAAGACATGCATGTACTTGTAAATTGCGCTGGTGTTCTCGAATCTGGTACCATAGAAAGTACTAACGCAGCGCAATATGATAGGGTCATGGAGACGAATGTTCGGGGTCCATATTTGCTGACTAAGTTAGCAGTCCCTTATCTTATTCAAACGAAAGGTTCTATAGTAAATGTGTCCAGTGTTACTGGATTAAGGTCTTTCCCAAATGTTTTGGCTTATTGCATGTCGAAAGCTGCTTTGGATCAGTTTACGAGATGCGTCGCTCTCGAATTGGCACCAAAAGGAGTACGCGTAAATGCGGTTAATCCTGGAGTAATAACTACTGGCCTTCATATGAAAAGCAGTATGAATGAACAAGAGTATGAGACATTTATAAAGAAATGTGCGGAAACCCACGCATTGGGCAGAGCTGGTGAAGCCAAGGAAGTTTCTTCTGCGATCCTATTTTTGGCAAGCGATGGAGCGAGTTACATCACAGGTGTCACTTTGCCCGTAGACGGTGGTCGCCATGCTATGTGTCCTCGATAAAGGTATTCTATAAAACTCCGTCACAGAGAAATCAGTGATATTAACATTATATTTTTGTTAAAATCAGTTATATTATTTGTAATTAAAAATGTACATGCAATACGGTATATTCATATGTATTTTTTTCACTAGTAATTTAATACGTTTTTAATTTTATATTGTAAGGTTTATAAGTTTTATGCAAAATCGAATAGAATTGTTACGATTAAATTGAGTAATGTTTGGTTTCTTGACTCTGGCAACACGTAAAATGGCGGGAAGATGGGCCTTCGGGACGGTTTTAGCGGGAGAAAATGGTGGATAATCGAACTGATCGGAAGAAGTTTTTGGCTGGAGATACCTTTAAGAGTAGGTGGTTGGTTATGTTGCAACCTAAGTTTTGAACCACCTACAAGTTTTGAGTAGGTAGTTGGTTTTGTTGAAACCTGAGTTTTGAACCAGCTACAAGTTCTGAAGTTTTGAGTAGGTGGTTGGTTTTGTTGAAACCTGAGTTTTGAACCACCTACAAGTTCTGAAGTTTTGAGTAGGTGGTTGGTTTTGTTGAAACCTAAGTTTTAAACCACCTAAAATTTTGTTTCAGGTGGCTTTAAGTTTTGTTTAAATAGATTTAAGAGGTGGTTGATTTGCTTGAAATCTAAGCTTAGAACCTACAAGTTTGTTAAACCTAACAAGTTATGAATAACATATAAATTTTATTGTACAACGTTGAGTTTCGAAATATAAGCTTTAAAAGATCACTTAGTGGATTATTTCTGAGATACCCCTTAAAATATCAAAAAATTAAGACCCTGGTGTATGTTGATTAAGGTAAATTTGAAAAGTTTATGCCCTTTAACAAGCAGTACCTGTAATAACATGGTCCGGGTCCTCCTCGGAGTAGAGCGCCTGAGACTGGCAGTCGGAGTATTGGTAACCATTCTGATTTCCGGTCTGCTAAGACTGATCAGTCTGCAGGTGAGTCGTGGTGTGACTTGATTCAGCACCAGTTTGGACTATCTGCAGCCGGGTGCGTTTTTCCACCTCCAGTTGTGTGCTTCACAGGTCCGTTGCCTGACCCAGCATCGTATTTGGTTGGCAGTCGGGGTAGTTTTTATTGGAAAAACCACATAGTCCTGGCTCCTGCGTCCCCGAGGAGCCGGAGATGACTGCCGTGTGTGAGAAATGTGAAGTTATTTTTATTATTATTCTACGAACCGGAGTGGGTCTTTTGAATAAATAGTCTAATGTTTAACACGTGTTCTGCGTACAATGTGTATGTAACTATTAGGTACACGCACTTTTGTTAATAATTTGATTTACAAAAATCCAATAAATTAACTATAGCTAAATTAGTTTACATAATAAACACGAATTTTAGACAATTATAGCAGCGAAATCTAACAGTTACACGTATTTGAGCTTAATTGACATAACATAACAAAATATTACAAAATTTACGTACCGCTGCGCTAAAGGATCGCGCGGCCACGGAGATCTCAGCAACTACTTAAGTTAGAGATCTAATTATTTTTGTAAATTGGAGACTAAATTTGTCAAAATTGTTCATTGAAAAATGGTAAGTGATTTTTGAAAGCCTAAAATCGATCTAAGTGGCGTGCAATGGGAGAGGTCTATGTCCAGCAGTGGACTGCGATAGGCTGATTCATCATCAGCCATGATGAGGTACATTTTTGTGTAAATAAATTTGGTGTAATGACTGCAAAGGGGAAATAGGAAGATTATTAATATAAAACAATTTTTTGTGCAACTTCATTTATTTATTTAAATCCACGTTATTAGATACTTATTCACTACCGGTAATATTATTGAAGATCGCAGAGGCCGAGCAGGTACCGAGGTCGATGATAATCTTGCTAGTTTGAATACCAGTGTGGAGAATGCGAGTACCGGCACATACTTCCAGTGAAGCTGGCAAGCTTGCAATGGACAGATTGATACGGCCAATCTGTAATAAAAAAAATCTTTTAGTTGAAACGCCATATATAATATTAGTTTACGTGGTACAGACATTTCTAGATTTTAGTCGTTCGAAAGAGGAATATGGCGTTTATGACAATTTATTGATGACTCTTTGAATTTTTAAACTTAATAGAACGAGACAACAATATAATATGCCCTTAAAACAAAAAAAGAAACAAGTCACTTTGTTTCTTTGCCTAAAGAGACACGGTGTTAGAGCATAATGAAGTCCAATTCTCGTTACAAAAGTTCAGTCGCAATTCAGATCCGATCAACTCTCGATCTCGAAAGTATGAAATATCCAACGTGGACTGTGTGATAATATCATATAATAACCGAAAATTGAATTGGTAATCTGTTAGTCTTTATAATACTTTACTATTATACTACCACACTACCTTTTATGACAGTTGCAAGATCGAGAGCTGATCGGAACTAAATTTTGATCGCACTTTTATTAGGAGAATTGGCCTTCTGATTTCATTTAAGGGTCGTGGGTTTGACTCAATTATAAATATCTGTCAATGCTATTAATAATAATATTCTACCACATTTACACTACGCCGTCTAGTCCCAAACTAAGCAGAGCTTGTACTATGGGTACTAGACAACTGATATAAATACATATATACTTTTTTTTGTAAATACATACATATTATACATAGAAACACCCAGACCAAATCAAACATTAAATGTTCATGCACACAAATGTTTGACTTGAGCGGGAATCGAACCCGCGACCTTTAGAATAGCAGTCCGTTACACAAACCACTACGCCATCCGGTCGTCAAATTATTATTTACCTATTTGTGTTCAGGAATTTAACGAAGTCTATTTGCATTTCTGTCACACTCCGTCAAAAGTCTAAACATATGAATTTTAATCTATATGGCACTACACAATTAAAGTTCTCAATAAATACAAATATAAATATGAAGTTCAAACATCCCCGAGTAAACATATTTTCAATTACGAGTATTAGGAGAAGAGCTGAATCTTTAACTGGCTGGTGTCACAGATAAACACACAGATAGAAGTCAGGGTCAGGGGAAGCCTTTCGTCAGGGGCTAAAAGCTACTCGGGCACGCCGTCATCGCAGCGGTAAGACCCGTTATGGAAGATTGGCTCGAGAGGCGTCACGGGACCCTCTCATACCGACTGACGCAGGTGATCACTGGGAAAGGATGTTTCGGGGATCACCTGTGTCTGATCCGCAAGGAGCCAACGCCTGAGTGCCCCGAGATTCGAGAAATCGATGACCGGAAATCCCAACTCCGCCAGGTCATCATAGGGGAGTGGAGGGAACGACTCGGGCAACCGAGCGCCGGGCACGCCGTCATTGCGGCGGTAAGACCCGTTATGGAGGATTGGCTCGAGAGGCGTCACGGGACCCTCTCATACCGATTGACGCAGGTGATCACTGGGAAGGGATGTTTCGGAGATCACCTGTGTCTGATCCGCAAGGAGCCAACGCCTGAGTGCCACCACTGCGATGGCCAGACGGTGGACACGGCTCTCCACACGCTGGCAGAGTGCCCGGCGTGGGTTGAGCAGAGGCGAGACCTCGTGGCGGCCATCGGAGTGGGAGTTCTCTCGCTCGATAGCCTGATTATCGTGCGGAGCGAGAGTGCGTGGAACTCTGCCGTCTCCTTCTGCGCGCAAGTTATGCTCGCGAAGGAAACGGCGGAGCGGGACCGGGAGAGATGTAGGACAGGTACCGCAGGCGACTCAGGCGCCGGAGGTCGCAGAACGACCTCCGTCCTCTATAAGCGCAGGCCTGGGGGTGATAGGTGAGGCCATCTGTCACCCTAGCAGAAACAGGCCGGGGTGGCGGCGAGCGCGTTGCGAAGCGCGCTCGTTTCCAGGGAGCAGAGGGATCGCAAGGGAAAAAAAGAAAAAAAAGAAAAAAAAAGGGAGCAGAGGGAACATGGGGTTCCCACACGGGGGGTCGGCTACTTGTTGTAGATGGCCCGAGGTATGTCGGGGCACCAGGGACTTCCTTTCTAGGGTATACCTGGTTCCCCGCCTATTAGTCCCGAGACGGCTTGCGGTTTTAGTCGGTTCGAGTCCGACATGCCACCGATAGGTGGTATCCGAGGGGATTTCCGCACGGAAAAAAAAGGGGCTAAAAGCTAGGCAGGAGTAGTGACTACTACAAATACCTTTCGGGTATCGTAAAAGTAGGAGATTATGCATGTATATAAATATATATAAATATGGCTATTCCCGTATATATAAAAATATAAAAAAAACTCACCAAAACAGTGCTTTGAGAAAATAAGCCAAAGGATTTCATTTCAACATTCATAGCAACTGAGCCGAGGCATGTGCCGGTGGTCAAAATGTTGACACTGTCTTTGGCACATTGCCTCATATCTTTGACGGCTGTGGACGCTTCTCTCAGAGCCTCAGCGGCAACAATTTTCAGCTGTTCTATTAGTTCGCCGATCTCGTCTATACGTTGGTCAACACAAGCCATGGCGAGCGATGCAGTGTTGTTGAATACATCGGCAGCTTCGTCCCTGTGAGTCTGAACACAATTATTTATACCACTTTCGTAGTTTGCTTTAGTGACAACGTTATCTAGGAATCTTAAGTTCTAAACACTAAGCTAAAAAATGAATAATACAAACATGATTTTTCTTTTATCTTATTTGCCAACGATACATTCTCTCTCTCAATCTATGTACGGATACGTCAGGAGAATTCAATGCAAGCATTCGCACTCACCTGTGTAAAAACGCTACCTAAAGTTACACATATCTAGTATTTATGTTAATCTGTTACGGCACCAAAAGGTACGATGACAGCTCAATTATATTGAAGTGGCTGGTACCCGTGACTTCATTCTGTTACGCGAACCTCGGCGAAGGGAGTTTTTAAAAAAGGATTGGGTATGTGACACTTAATTTAATAGACTTTATATCGACACAAACAAGGTCACAAGGTCTTAAATTAAACTTGGCAGCCGTCCGTTATGTCGCGGTAACAGTTCGCGTGGAATTTTAAAAGCGCTGCCTTAGTGGTGTAGTGCGGTATGCAACTGCAGTCCACTAGGTCTCGGGTTTGATTCCCGAACCGGGCAAAATATTATATTGCTATTCTAAGAGAAAAAATATTCTAACTAACTTCTTATATAGACAGTTGCCTAGTAGCAAAATATTATCTAAATCAGTGCAGCCGTTTCGAAGAACAGACTGATAGACAAAAATATTTAAACTGATATTAAGGCATAGGTATCGTGCAAATAACCGTGTGAGCATGAAAAAACTTATTATTTTGATATTACGAACAGACACTTCAGTTTATTTATTTGTACCTATAGATGAAATACGACTAAACAATGAAAACTGAATTTAGTAATTAATTATGGTTAAAGTTCGATTAGCAAGTGATCTTGAGTAAAAAATAGTTCAGCCATACTTACTTCAACACAATCATTCAAGGCGTTACTGGTGTCTGAGAATTTCTTATAAACATTCTCAATGGCGTCGGTGACTCTGTTTTTGAACCTATCAATGTCGTTTATGATCTTTTCACGGATTTGTTGAACCTCGCTTGTGATACTGTTTGAGAAGGCGGAGACAGCATCCAAGGCTTCCTTGCCCGCATTTTGTAGTCTTGTTATTAGATTTTGTATAAATTGCCTTTGAATAAGAAAAACTATTTTTACTATAAGAAAAAATACAAAATTGTGTTACAGTACTGGTATGAAGGACACATATGACAACTCTGAGTAAGTCAGTATTTAGCCTAATATTTAAATAGCTAAATATTTCAGTGTAATAATTGAAATTCTTCCTAAGATATTGTAAATTTTGCCAAAATTCATTAATCCGCAAAGATTTTTGAATAAATCATTTCGAAATCCTGCCATATATTTTAGTATCCACATACATTTTTCTTGTTATTATCGTAATGGCTTGAATAATTTGAAGAAAAAAACACACATTTCTCGTAGTAGTCGGAGAAAAAGAGAACAGAATGTCAAATTAATAATATTTTTTGTCCGAATGATCGGCAAGTTCAGTTAGCAATAGCAACTATAATATTTATGTCACTTAGTAATATTTATTCATCACCAACAGCCTTTCATAGTCCACTGCTGGACACAGGCTTCTCCTTAAAATGAGGTTTTGGCCTACTATACCAAGCTGGCTTAACGGGTTGGTATAGGCCATCGGGTTTTGTTTCAAGTTTTCCTCCTCTTTGCAGGGCTGTGATCCTGCGTAGTTTGCTCCCTTAGATGGCTCTACGACACCCACGGTATGAATAGGGGTGATGACAATCCGTATTCTTAATCCGACAACACACGAATACTTATTATTGTTCTTAAAATAGAATTAGTAAATCATTAAAAAGGTTCTTACGTTATGTTCTGTAACAGATCACGACGTGAGCGCACTAACAAAGCATGGCTCTGCTCAGGCACACCTAACGCCGAGCCGGACTGAAATATAAGAATATTACATTTTATGGGATGAAATTACATCTAATAATTATAACCATTCTTGTTTAACACCACTGATAGCTGTAATAGTGAATAAAACTGATCATACTTTTATTATATCATAGTTTAATAAAAATGACTCCTTAAAAATGTAACATTACGCAGTATTTATTTCAACTGCCAGATTAAACTTAAACTACATATTTCGTAAGAGACTAAATATATTGTGTATGGCAGATAATTATTTTGAAAAATATCGTCTCAAAAGGACTATGTTATCCATGTTAGAGGTCATAAACAAAACATAGTTACAACATAGGTATTTTTATTTTCTTACCAGAACCGCAACGATGCACAACACGAATAAGAATTTCATATTGAAAATGCAAGTTACTTTACAGAGCCGATGAGTGGTCTGATGATGCTGCTAATTTCTCAAAGGTTTTTATAGTGTACTTTATGTAAACCATAACTAATATTTTGGCTCAAATTAAACAGAATTATCTTATCTCAGTATCAGTACGGTAAGGCAAAATTGCGTTAGATGTCGTTTTGATTTTACTCAAATACAATTAAAAAAAACTTATCAAAAGCGTGTTTATTTTCTAATATTTTCAAAAAAATCTAGATCTCTAGATCTTATAAATTGTGGGTATTTTATAATCTCGGGTTCAATTCAAAGAATCAATCGGTCAATTTTAGACTATAGCAGTCCATTCCTGGATTTAGGTAGGTATAACTTTTCCAAAGTGCGCCATAGCACACGGTCTGCCGTCCGCATCTAGTCCATCCTAGCTGCCTTCTTCAGGTCATCAGTCCTTCTGGTTGGGAGGCAGCGTATCTTTCGTTTTCCGATGAGCAGTCTCCCCTTTAGGACGCTTTTGCTCCAACCAGCATTGGTCCTTCAGCAGACGTGGCCCGTCCATTGCAACTTCACTTCGTCTTCACTACTTACTTATTCTACGAGCTATGTCGATAAATGTAGTTCTTTGTAGGATGACTTGATTACGAATTTTATCCTTCAAAGAAACTTCAAGCATGTCTCGCTCCATAACACTCTTATAAAAGACAACTTCTGCACGAGGAAATATATCCTGTAGCGCGGGTGACTTTACAAACATTCATGAACCGCACACTAAGAACACCCATATGCAGAATAACAATTTGTGGATCACACAGTGTTAGAGGACACATTCATGTTAAGATCGAATTCACAAGACTCAGCGCAGTAGGAAGCGTCGAGGTGACTGCTTGAATCACGCGGTCAGTACAGTCAAAATTACTTTTACTACAATTATTATACTTTTACAACAATTAGCATAGAAGTACTACATTATTTATAAAGTCATCGAACTTGTTACAAAGACAAAAATAAGATAAATTTAACTTAATTACTTCCTTTTCGTTTTCTTTATCAGTCCGCAAATAAATTAACCGGATTCGCAAAACTACGCAGTCATGGTCATTTTCACACCATACGGTAATCTCAATGGCATTGTCTTTAACTAAATAAGTAAAATGCGGGAAAATGCGGCAATCCATTGTAAAATTACTGAGGATTCGGAAGGATACCAGTTTTAATACAGGCAAACTAAACAAGAAAAACAACCAGAAGCGGGGCCCCATGAATCAATATATGGACCCTCTTAAGATTCGGAATTAGAGGGAGGATTAAGGCCGTCTTGACCGTCTTTTTTTTTTTAAAAGACAATGCCCGCATTAGGAATATATATACTTTCAAAACATACATAAAACGGACACAATGAACACCCAGACTCAGTGGCGTTTGAACCCACAACATTCGGCGTAGTAGGAAGCGGTATGGCTTAAACCACAAGTTAGTGTTTATTTTACTTGCATAAGCTTGAGAGCATTACTTTACTTATTGCGCTTTAAGAGAGAGACTTTTAAATGTTACTTGAGGTTTCGGCTTAACGCGGCTTAACCATGAAGCCTTATACATCCGTATAAGAAAACTGAAGTAATCTTAGTGACAAATACAGTCAAAGACATTACAGGAACCAATTTAAAACAACCTGTATATGAATATATTGAACATCATGGTTTTGCAAGCCATAATAAAATAATTGTAAATACATTTTGTTCCAGTTCGTGCAGTGATGCAATGACTGATAAACACATCTGCTTTACAAAATCTCAAGGTCCTCTTTAAATACATACGCTATCATTGTAAAACTAACACGGTTGTTATGTGGCACAATGACCCGTATCTACTTATTCTTTGGAAATAGTATAAGGTACTTTAAGAGTATGGGTAGGTTTTTCAAAAGACAGGTTTATTATTTGCGACTTACTCACAGAAGCATACATGTTCATAATATGTATAGTATGCTTCTGTGAGATCTTGGTTGGCTAAAAAGCGGATGAAGGAGATTAAAAGAGATTAATTTTTTTTTGGTTCAACTGAATACGTGTAAATATCTTTTTATTTAAACACTTATCAGTTATATTGTGGTAAGGTACTGATTTTCCGTGCGAATTAGCTGGGCCAGAATATTCATAAAAAGTTTTTGAACCAAGTTACTTGACGAAAAGTAAATTCGTGGAAACATTTGTTCTACATGGTATCATTACGTTAAAAAATTGGATAATTTTGATTTCTTGTGAGAGTGTGTGTAAGAGCCGGGTAAACTAACGCCTAGTCTATTCAATCGCTACACTACAGTATAAAGAAGCAAGCAAGATGAAAGAAAGGTGTTGCAACCATTATTGTCTTTTATAAGGTGATGATGATGATGCAGGTTTAACTAGATTAGTTTATACAAGTTAAGTCTTTAGTTTAGTTATAGCTTTATTCAGCTTAGCTTATTTAAATTATTCCCACATTATACAGTACACTCAACCAAGGACGATCAAGGTTTTTTACATGAACTGTTAAGGTAAATGGGTGAACACGTTTTTACATGTTTGTCACTAAATATTTCAACTAAATATTTATGTATACTTTTAGGTTTTTCTTGTAATTGAACTATCATCATCATTAACAGCCTTCAATAGTCCAGTGCTGGACATAGGCCTCTCCTTAGGAAGAAGGCTTTGGCGTACTATACCACGCTGGCCAGACGGGTTAGTACAGGGTTTGTTTCAAGTTTTCCTTCTCTTCGCAGTGCTGTTGTCCTGCGTAATTTGCTCCCTTAGTCGGCTCTTACGACATCCACGTGATAAATAGGGGTGGTGACACTCCGTATTCTTAAACGGTCACCACACGGATATTTACATTGAACTAACTTGTGTTAAAAGTCCCACAATACAATTTTAAAATTTTATTTCACTTTCAATTCATCTAACCATCGAACGGGTTGCAGTCATATTGCCGATTACCCTCCGACACTTTGTGATTTAAGATGTTACCAACTCAAAAAGCGAAGGATCTCTCTGGTGTTCTGATTAATCATTATACTGTCCAGGCTATTAACGAACGGTCGGGATACAAACTGACTGTCCAACGCTACTTGCCATCCTTTCATCGTCTAATGCTCATAAGAAGTAGGTGATGCAGAAAAGGATTCTATTTTTTATTATTTGGTCATATTATTAACTTCATGCTTGAATTATTGGCGATTCAAATAAAGGCGGCAGAACTGTTCAGATATTCGTTGATAGAAACTTAGTTATCTGCTGGTGTAGGTATTACAAACAATAGGACAAATCATTAAACAGGGCATTATTCATAATGTCCGGGCTATATGACTAGTGAATAGTCCAACCGGGCCATATGTTTATTAAAATCTCCTTATTCATGACATTTCTGTTCATTATGAATATTTTAGTAGTTTTTTTGTACACTTCTGTGATCAAAGGGTCTCACGATTAGAACAGAAATATGTACCTAAATTGAAATTTCTATTTTTTTTTTAGATTACAGGTAAGTCAAACCTATGAAAATATGTAGTGTCTTTCAAAAAAGTATACCCTGCCTCGATAAGATTCATCCAGTTGATCTTACAGTATCAGTGAGTTTTGCTATAAAAAATGAAAGAATCGTTAAGTCTTTTAAACAAGTAAATGCCGTAAAAAGGGTGTTAAGGGGTCAATAGAAAGACTTGAACATAATGTGATCTCGTACAAATATTAATTTGTACGGCGGGTGACCGAGATATGTTAGGGACTAGAACTTATGCAACCACTTATCATGTGAATTATGTTCTACTATTTTGTCAAGGTGGACGATGTAAGAATTATAACAATGTAAGAATTAGAACAAATGTCTGGTTGCCATGTAATAACTTACCTCTGTTAATTCATGACACTCATTTTTTATGTTATAGGGGAAAACGAGCAAACCTGACCCGAGCTCGTTTTAATGGTAAGTGACTATTGCCACCCAAGGAACAACTAACACAATTGGTCACGCAGTCCCTTAACTTGTAGGTGGCAAGTTAAGGGACTGCGTTGCCAGTTGTTTTAGTGACCCTCCCCCCGCCCCGCTTAAGAGGGGTGAGGAAGTTTGGTCCTCCAGTAACCTCACTCACTCACACTCCGTGCCGCCCGGCCGGCTTTGGATTGGCTCTCCCAAGAACGTGGAATATGACTTGTGTGATCAGTGACTGCATCGGTGGCGCAGTGGTAGCGTAAGCGACTGCTGTTCTGAGGTATCGGGTTTGATTCGGACCAAATGTTTGTATGCTCTGCAAATATTTGGTCCTAAATACGACCACTGCGAGCGAGCGCACGTACTAATAAATTCGAGAAAATTCAGAAAACGCCTTCCTCTGTATTCCTAAAGTGCAAAAATTACAACAAAAGTTAAATAAGGTAATGGAATATTATACTACAGGTAAGTGTATGTTTTGTTCTAAAATGCATTAATAGATGTATGTACGGTTACGGAACAAATATTTTGTGCGTGCAGTATGAATTTAACGTATCTTCCTTAAAATATCAAATGACGGCGTTTGGAGTTAGGTTGATTACTCAAACATGTCAAAACGGCTGAGTGTAATCAATAGCATATATGCAATTGCTATCTTGGAAAATTGAAAGAAGTAAACGATACCGAAATAAATAAATTTTTTAACGGACTTCTAGTAGGCCAAAACCTCCTTTCTAAGGAGAGGCTTATGTCTAGCAGTGGACTATTAAAATTAAAATAAAACTAATAAAATAAAACTAATAAAATTAAAGGCTGTTGATGTGATGTGATGTGTGACATGTGAAATCCTACTAATTTATCTAAGACCTTTAAGATTTATCTTATTAAACTATATTTAATATAATCTAACATACTAGTTTGGTAAGTAATGTATAGTATAGTTCCATGTTCTACTTATTATTTTCCAACATATGTTTTAACACTATTTTTTAACTTTTTTATTTTTTTTATGTCCTATAATAAATAGGTTATCTAAATAAAAT